AACGACGTCGTTTTGAGTACAAAATAACATCAAAATTGCCAAAACGACGTCGTTTTGACAAATTTAAACCATTTGAGCCACAAAATTTTAAGTTATCAAATATTTTCTTAATAATTGAAGAATATAAAAGAAGAATGTTTATGATTGATTAAGGACATGATTAGGACCAATCAATATTTTTTCCAGCCAACATCGGATGTTTTAAATAAGTGTATTTTTTGACTTTTTATAAAAAGATGTGTAAAAAAGTAGAAAAAAAAATATTGATTGATGTAACCTAAAAAAGATAAAAAGATGGACTAAAATAGGATATCCCAAACAAGGCCTGAATCTATGGTTGGTTGATGATTAACACAACCGTCACACATCAAACGTTTTCAAATCTTTGTCTATTGATTAAAGAAATATTAAAAAATATATTATAAATTGAATTATCAATTATTATTACAAAAGATTAGTTAAAATTTAATTATTTCATTTAATTCTATTTTATTTTAATAAATTAAAAAATTAAAAATTAAATTACACTTTGATTCATGTATTTTATCATTTTAGCTCTTAAATTTTTTTCTTACTTTGATTATTTATGTTTCAATTTATTTTAATTTCCTTTTAAAACTATTTTTTTATTTAAAATTAGAAAGAATATGTCACATTAAGTAAAATATATTATTATATTTATCCTATGCCTCACCCAAACTTAAATTTAAATATAATAATATATTTTTTACATCACGTGACAACTTTCTAAATATAATAATATATTTTTTACACCACACCATGTGACCGTCCATGTGATATTTTTTATCTAATTTTAAATAGAATTTAGCTTTAGAGTTAAATTTTAACTTAAAACGCGAATAGCTAAAGTGAGATAAAAACTTTAATGGTTAAGGTAAGAAAATAAGTAAAACATAAAGAGGTAAAGTGTAATTTATCAAAAAAAATAAAAATAAAATATTAGTACTACGAAACTAAACGACAAATCCTCACCGCCTAAAATGAAATAATAATACTATAAATTCAGATTTAATTACTTAGAAATTATTTTAAATTATTATTTTGTGCTTCAAATTTATTTTATGCATAGACACCATATTACACAAATTCAATTTCAACCACACGCTCTTATTCGGGATAAATTAGGAATATTGTTTTAGATATGACAAATTCAGGATAGTTAAGTGGGGTTCATAGACCTTGGGCAATTGCCCAAACGGTCTTGGAGAGATCAATTGGCTACCAAGACGTGTGAAGTTTCAGGTTCGAATATATGAAGAGGCGTTGACCTGCGTTGTTATCTAATTACTAACATATTAACTATTATCTTGTGCATAAAAAAAAGAAAAAGAAAAAAAAAAAGGGTGGGGTTCATAGAATTATTGAAAATGAAATCGTTACTAAGTGTTAGTTGAGCTTAATCAATCTCGAGTAATGCTATACAAACAAAAAAATTCATATATAATAATTTTGTTTTAGACTTTTCACTTTAAAATAAAACACCATTGAAGACGAGTTTCTTTACAATATCATTCTTATCAAATTTTTTTTATAAATTTTATACATGAATATAATTTTCCATCTCTATTAATAATTTCCTTTGACAGAAGCTCAACGACTAAAATTATTAACAAATTAATAACTAAACAATCCTATTAGCGTCTTCTTATTATAACTATGAAACCCAGACTTACAATCCCAATTTGGGGTCAAGAATGGAATGTTTGATGAAGATTGAAAATGTGTATTATTAGACTTATATATAGAATGAATTTGAATCACATATTTGTGTTTTTGGGTAATTTCTAAATTTGTAATGTTGCTGCCATAAAAAATGCTACATGTTATCATTTTTTTATTATTAATGTCTATTTGGTTTCTTTTAATTGGTATAATCATTAAAAATAATAATGAAGACAAATAAGTTATTATCATGAAATTCCGTAATATAAAATGACAAAAAATCTGATGATATGTAATGAATTTTTTTTTTTTTTTTTTTTTTTGGACTATATAGTTGGTGGAACAAAAGTTAATCTACAATTTAGCTTATTTTGAGACTTTTGTTGTGAATTTTCACGCTTTGGTAGCCTTATTGAAGTCTATTTTGACCTCTCTTATTTAGTTTCTTAGTGAGTAGAGATAATATAAAATTGTAAAATTATTTGATCTCATCACTCTCTCCCCTATCCCTTTGATGCCAAGTTGTCAATATAGGCTTGGTTTTAAAAGTGGGTTGGCTTTTTATTTTATTTTTTTTTTGACCATTTTTGATTTTTTTTGTGAAAAAAAGAATGTAATAATTATAGATTAGGTGTAATGTTTTGTCTTATTGGACTAAAAAACCTATTTTATTTTTTTTTATGACTATTTTAGCCAAAAAATCCTCAGCCTCCGTTTGGGAAGTGGGTTGGCTTTTTGGCTTTTTAGCTATTTAGCTATTTTAGCCTAGGACTAAAAAGCCTGGTTTGGGAATGACTTTTTGACTTTTTGACTTTTTAAACTTTTTTTTTGTGAGAGAGGAGTGTAATGATTATGAGTTAAATTTGATGTTTTATTTTTTGTGACTAAAATAGCCTATTTTGTTTTTTGTGACTATTTTAGCCCCTAACTCACCAAAACCAACTTCCCAAACTATGCCTCAAACACAACTTTCTAAACATAGGTTGGCTTGGTTTGGAAAGTGAGTTGACTTTTTGACTTTTTTAATTATTTTAGTCTGCGGTTAAAAATTTTGGTTTGGGGAGGGTTTTTGACTTTTTTGTAAGAGAAAAAATATAATAATTATAAGTTAGATATAATATTTTGTTTTATTAAGATTAAAAAATTTATTTTATTTTTTTATGACTATTTTAGTCCAAACCTATGTTCCAAACAATGCCAGTGTAATATAATAAAATATATTTGTTAACGTTTGCCAATAGACTCAAATACTGAAAACAGACCGAAGAAAAGTCAATCAAGTTTTGGACAGCAGCTGAGCTGGTAAAAAGTGGGAAGATGGTAGAAAGTAATTTTTTTTTTGACTTTTAATCAAGTTTTTAGTTTTTTTAGATAAATAATTTGAAAAGTTGGTAAAAAATTATTTTTAATTTTTTTGATTAATATTTATTTATGATATTAAATCATAATAAAATGACCAAACTACCCCTATTTAATTTAAAAATATTTACAACTTCATCTATATAGCACATTTTGATCCATGAGGGATAGAATTATAATTTCACCATTGGCTAAAAACCAACTTCCCAAATAAAAAAAAAAATACAAAAAAATTAACTTTTAACTTTTGCTACTGATGATGCAGTTCGTCCTGGGTGGATGGGTCAGGATGGTCCAAACTCTTCAAGTTCCGATTCAGGCGGATGATTCCACCAAATGACCTGCAAGCAAGTCCAAAGGGGAACGGGATAGTCCCCCAGTGAACCCTCTGGCGAGCAAATTAGTAGAGGAAGAAGGAAAAATAGAGAGAGAGAGAGATAGAAAAGCTTAACCTTCCTCTTGTCTTCGATTCTTGCTTATATCCTTCGGTAATCATTTCACTGTCCCTTGCGACGTGCCCCCCTTCCGCCGAAAGCCTGTGCCGTAGCTTACCTTGTTCAGGGTGAGGGGGCTTTGTTCTGACGGGGATGTGTTGTCGTAATAAATGCTGTGATGGGCTGCATTAATGGTGATGTGTTGTGGTAATAACTCTGCAGATCTTTGTTTGCTGATGTGGCCTGTGTTTCACCTGTCATGTGCCCGAATGTCATTGGCCCTCCATGCCCAGATGGCCTCCAGCTGTCCTGGGCTTTGCCAGCCGAGTTATGCTATGGGTCCCAAGCGATGGGCTTGGGGTTGTTTGCTGTAGACTGTAAGCCTTATGGGCCTATCCATGTCAACTACAAACAAAAAAAAAATGACTAAAAATTATGTTCTCAAAAAAGGCCATAATAACTTATCATATCTAAGCTTTTCATGCGTGTGTTTGGTAACGTTTACGTTTTCAGTTTATATTTACAAAAATTTTATAAACTGGTTTTTGTTTATTTTTTGTTTATTTTTAAAAAAACATAAACTACAAACGCGTTTGGTAATTGACAAAATGTTTAAAAAATTTTAAAAATATAAAAAAGAGTGAGAAATGGCAAGTGAGGGAGAGAGACAGCGAAAGACGGTGGTGGAAAGTGGTGACGGTGGGTGGTGGGTAGCGGGTGGTGGTGGGTGGTGGCGGGTAGGTGGTGGTGGTGATAATATAATTTAAAAATATAAAAATATATAATAGTATAAGAGATGTCAAACAAACCCATATTTTGGCCTATTTTGAGAAGATTGTAAAAAGTGACTTTTTGACTTTTAATCAAATTTTTTATTTTTTTAGACAAATGATTTGAGAACTTGATAAAAAGTTACTTTTGACTTTTTTAATTAATATTTGTTTATGATGTCAAATCACAATGAAATGACTAAACTACCCTTATTCAATTTAAAATATTTATAACTTCATCCATGTAGCACATTCTGACCCATGAGAGGTAGAATTGTAATTTCACCAGTGACTAATAACCAACTTTTCAAAAAAAAAAAAATACAAAAAAATTAACTTTTAACTTTTGCTACTGATGATGCAGTTCGTCCTGGGTGGATGGGTCAGGATGGTCCAAACTCTTCAAGTTCCGATTCAGGCGGATGATTCCACCAAATGACCTGCAAGCAAGTCCAAAGGGGAACGGGATAGTCCCCCAGTGAACCCTCTGGCGAGCAAATTAGTAGAGGAAGAAGGAAAAATAGAGAGAGAGAGAGATAGAAAAGCTTAACCTTCCTCTTGTCTTCGATTCTTGCTTATATCCTTCGGTAATCATTTCACTGTCCCTTGCGACGTGCCCCCCTTCCGCCGAAAGCCTGTGCTGTAGCTTACCTTATTCAGGGTGAGGGGGCTTTGTTCTGACGGGGAGGTGTTGTCGTAATAAATGCTGTGATGGGCTGCATTAATGGTGATGTGTTGTGGTAATAACTCTGCAGATCTTTGTTTGCTGATGTGGCCTGTGTTTCACCTGTCATGTGCCCGAATGTCATTGGCCCTCCATGCCCAGATGGCCTCCAGCTGTCCTGGGCTTTGCCAGCCGAGTTATGCTATGGGTCCCAAGCGACGGGCTTGGGGTTGTTTGCTGTAGACTGTAAGCCTTATGGGCCTATCCATGTCAACTACAAACAAAAAAAAAAATGACTAAAAATTATGTTCTCAAAAAAGGCCATAATAATTTATCATATCTAAGCTTTTCATGCCTGCATTTGACTTTTTTAGCGTTTCATGCCTATATTAGGGGTTGTTTGGAGTGTCTTAAATAAGTGCATTTTTTTATCTTTTTGGACTAAAAAATTGAGAAAAAAAATATAGATGTTTGGGTTAACTTTTTGATTTTTTATAAAAAAATGTGTATAAATTAGTGTGTAGGAAAAAATTAGAATTGAGAGTTGTGCAGCCGTAATTTTTGACTTTTAATGAATAATGATAACTTTTTGAAAAATGCTTGGGAGCACTAATTAGTGCTCCCACTAATTAGGTGGCAGTGGGTCCCGCCATTAATGATGTGATGTTTTGGTCTTGGAGTTGTTTTTTTTTTTTTTTTTTTACTTTTTTAATGCATTAGTGCTATTAGTGGTGATGTTTTTAGTGGGATGAATCATTGTTGTAACTTTTTAATTTTTTAAGTAACTTTTTAATTTTTTAACATTTTAATAACTTGTCAAACTTGACCTTAGTTTTTTGATGACGATTGAAGAATTTGTATTAATTTAAACTTTAACCTCGTACTCATCACACTTTAAAATGTAATTATAAACTCTTAAAATAATGTGACTACATATCATTGGACCACACCCAAATTGTACTCTGCACAGTTTGGGAAGATTGAAAAAAGACAAAAAGTCAAAAAGTCACTATCCTATTTAAGTCACATCATCTTATTTAAGTCACATCACCTCTCTAATACATCACTTCAAACCCAACCCAAACCCAACCCATATTTCATAAAAAGTCAAAAAATATACTTATTTAGTCTTCCCAAACTAAGCCTAATTTGATTATCAAATTACATCAAAGGGTAGCAAAAATAATTTTTTAATGGTCAATCTTCATCCATGTTCCCTTTGCAGTCATCCCACCTTTTAAGATGATATATAGGCTATTTTAGCCTCCGTTGGGAAGTGGGTTGACTTTTTAATTTTTTGATTTTTTTTTATTATTTTAACCTAGGTTAAAAAACTTGATTTGGGAAGGATTTTTTGGCTTTTTTAACTTTTTTTGTGAAAGAAGAGTGTAATGATTATGGGTTGAATGCGATGTTTTGTTTTTTGTGACTAAAATAGTCTATTTTATCTTTTGTGGCTAAAATAGACAAAAAAGTCCACTTTAGTTCTTTCCAAACGTAAATTACATTATCTTTTTACATTTTTATATATTTTTTAAAGAAAATTAAAAAGTAAAAAAAAATCAATTTTTAACTAATTTTTCAACACAACTCATATATATATATATATACGTTGCCATTACTTTGTTTTTGTTTTTCTTTTTGGGTAAATAATACATGGCTCCTTGGATAGAGAGCAACGAATCTTTTGGTTTTGATTTTTATAAACCTTCATTTCTGGATCGGAAAAAGTTAAGGATCATAAAATTTTTTTAATGAAAATAATTATGAAAGATTTATAATTCTTAGAATACCTTAATTAATGTGTGGTATTCTATTTTAAGTATAATTTAAAAATCATAAATTTTCCATAATTTTTTTTTTTATAATACTTAACATTGCTCTTCTGGATTTTGATGGCTTCTTACTCCCTATAACAGAAAATTAGGTCCTCACTCATTGGTCATAAAAATATATTTTTTGCTATCTAAAATAATAAAAAATATATTTATTGGAGCATGAATATATCTTGATTTTTGTCATCAGCTATAAAATAGTTTAAAAAATATAAAAAATGAAAAAAACATTTTTTTTCTCTCTCTCTCCTCCATTATAGGAAGAAAAATGATGCAGACCACTAATTAGTGGTTGCACTAGGGATGTGGCAGTGGATTCCACCCACTGTCACATGTGTTTTGTATCTTAGTTTTTGTTTGTTTTTTTTTTTTTTACTTGCCACATCATTAGTGGTGGTGTTAGTGGTAGAAATTTAGTGGTCTGTATCATTGTTGTTATAGGAATTATAGGCAAGGTACCAAACTGCTTCAAAATTATAATTAAAAATAGAAAGTAGGTGTTTGGAAAGTTATTATTTTAATAGATTATTTTAGTTTTTGGTTATTTTTATTGGTTAAAATATTTGTCTTTGAAAAGAATATTGGATTTTTTTTATTTATAATTAGATGTGATATTTGTGAGAAAAAAAAATGAAATGATTATGAATTTAATATGATATTTTATCTTATTGACTATTTTAACCTATTTTATCTTTTTATAAATTTTGGGATTGTTTGGGGTGTTCTAAATAAGTGTATTTTTTGACTTTTTAGAGTAAAAAGTTGAGAAAAAAAAATGATTATTTGGGATAACTTTATAATTTTTTACGAAAAAATGTGTATTAAAAAATTATATAAATTAGTGTAGAAGAGAAACTTGGGCAGAGTAGGCAGTACGGTGGGCAGAGTAGGCAGTACGGTGGGCAGAGTAGTGTATGGGAGAAGCTTGCTTCCTTTCCGGGCATTGAATTGGACGGTGCTATTTAGCCCGTGGAGGCCCACCATGGGTCCCGTTTTGCTAATCGGAACCGTTCAATATGTAAAACTCGTTGAGTACTATATGCTTGTAAAAAATCACGTTAATCAGATATCGATAGCTATATGATCGGATTAGTTTTTTTGTCATCCGTTAACTATAACATCATCAATTTTTTATACAAAACTGATTTGATCATATAGTTAGCGATACTTGATCAACGTGATTTTTTACAGGCATATATTATTCGAAGAGTTCTATACATTAAACGGTTCAGATTATCAAAACGGGACCTGTGATGGGCCCCTACAGGCCGAACATCACCGCCTTGTTTGTTTCTCCGCCTATTCCCTTTGTACAAACAGTGGGCAGCTAAAGTACAACTCACGTGACACGTGAGTTGTACATTTTTTTTTTTTTTTGTAAAATTAATTTTTTTTATATATATTTTTTGTGAATAGTGATAACTTTTGGGTAAATTACCAATAAGTCCTAATAGTTAGACTTAATTCCCATCAGGTTCTATTGAAAATAAGTCTTGATAAAATTATCGTTAAAATAATTTTTTTTGTGACAATTTTTTACATATGTCGCAAAAATTGATAATTAGTGACTTTTTTGTCATAATTTTTATAAATTGTCGCTAAAACTTACAATTAGTAACATTTTTTTTAAGAAAAATTTTCCTCATAGGACCTATTAGACAATAAGTCAACTTATTAGAACCTACACGTAAGTATCTCATAATTTTTTAACTTTTTTAGTAACTTTTTAACTTTATAACTTTTTTAAGATATGCCAAACCAATGACTAACAAATTATTAATACAAAATGATCCAACTATTTTTGTAATTGAAAGTTGAAGGCAAACCAATGTAATTATGTGCCATTTTGGGAAGCAATAAAAAACGCCACGTTTTTTATCCATGTTCCAAAAAAGCTCCCGGCCCAAAACGTCACTTTATTCATTTGGCAACTTTCCAAAACGCAACACTGAAATTACAGTTTGGTCCTATGAGACAAAATTGAAAAAGTAAAAAATAAATGTTAAGGAAGGATATTTTGGTCATTTTGGAGTGATGTGACACTTTTAAAAAATATTAAACCAAAAATAAAAAAAGTCAACTTTTTACCAACTTTTCAAATCACTTTCAAAAAGTCAAAAAATTTGATAAAAAATTAAAAATTAACTTTTTATCAACTTTTCAAAACACCATAATGTGACTTTTATAGGTTGCACCACCGAGTTGGCATTAAGTTGAGACTAGATTTCAATAAAAATATATCAAACAAAAGGAAAAATGACTCACCAGTCAAAAAAATTCATATATAAAATTAATTCAAAACAATACAAGTGACATTTTTAAAAGAATTATAAAATATTTGTACTTATTTAACTCTCATTACATATATATATATATATATATGAAACAGATCAACCGATATTTTTATTTTACAATTAATAGTTTTTAAAGACCAACATCAATAAATCTTAGTTCGAAATTAAAAATAATTCAGCAAATTTCAAAAAATTTATAATGACCCTGATATTTTATGCCATTGATTTTGAATTTTGACCATGTGCAGCAACCTTATCAAACAAGATTGAGATGATATAGAAACACTAAGAAAAATTAAATCAACTAATATTATTAGTACAAATTACCTTAATTTGTTCAACCTCAGAGCTCTGATGATGATTTGATCTAAAATACGCATCGGGGCATCTCTCTACTAACTTGTTCCTCCTGCAAAAGGGTAACCAGTGGCTTCCAAACTTAGCAGCTTCCATGAAAGCAAAGAGAGTCATGGCAGAGCCTCCATCGTCCGATACATAGACCGAAAGCTTCTCAGTCGGGTAATCATAAGCCATGACCGATAAGGCCGTGTTCACGACACTCATCGGTGGCTCTTTATACGGATCTGCAGTGCATACAAATATGTCCAAAGCTTGAAAATCATTTTCTTTCATGATTTTCTCAAGATTTTCTCGGAAAACTTGGCGATGGACCGGATTCATGCGAAAAGACTGCTTGGCAGCCCACATGAGCCCTAGAATTACGTCGGAGATTAATAAGGTGATGGGGATGGAGAAGGAGAGTAAGGTGGTGGAGTGGAAGACTGTGATTGCATGGTGATAGAGGAGAGCCAAAATGGCACACGTGTAAACTACCGCGAAAACACGGTTCGGGGCAATGAGAGGGGAGAACCTAAGTGTGTGAAGAAGGGGCTTGGTTTTGACACCCTCCATTTCTATGGAAAATGGTTTGTCTCACTCACAGGGATGACCTAACTAAGGTTGATTCTTTATAGGCCTACATGTGAGCTGTGAAATGCTTCACACGTGCGAAAGATTATGTAAATATCGCAATACTTGTGTGGAGCATATTTTCCTCTGTATAATATGGTCTACAGCTCAGAAGAAAAAAAAAAAAAACCACCAGAAAATTATTTAAAATTTATAATCAAATTTGAAGATTGATTCATGGTATCATCTTTTTGGGAATTTGGTTATTTTAATTAATTTTTTAATTTTTTAAGAAAAGATGTATTAAAAAATAGAGAGAATGATGTGATAACTTGGTTTAGGTTTTTGGTTATTTTAGCCAAAAAGTCACTTCCGAAACAATCCGTAAATATGGGAGAGCGTTTGAATTTGGTGGGTTCATTTTGAAACCGATCTCAATGATCCAACCTGTTCACTTTTTAGAATTCATTTACTAGAATATATTCTTCAAAAAATCAAGATGATTAGATATCGGTAACTATATGTTTGAATAGCATTTGTATTATAAAAAATAGATAGATATTTTTAAAATTATATATGTCATTCATTTTTTTTTTTAAAAAATAAATATTATTCAAATATATAACTATCGATGTCTGATCATATTAATTTTTTACATGAATATCCTATCTAATAATTTTAAAAGATAAATGATTTGAATCACTGAGGTTGGCACAAAATGAACTCACAAAATTCAAATACTCTCTCAAATTAATTGGCCAATTTCAGACAATCTAAACCCTTTAAATATGTACCTTAGATTTGCATTCTAGGCAATTTTTGATTTCCCTTTCCTTTCGGGTACGATATACAAGCAAGAAAATGGAATTTTATATTATTATTTTATATAGAAATATGTGGCTTTGATCCAAATCTATCACTTTAAACACCATATTATTTTTGTGAAATTTTATATTTTCCTTCTGTCTTTTAACTTCTAAACAGTCATATTAATAAAAATAAGTGGAGCTAATTTGTACATGCAGTGGTGATACAGACCACTAAATCAGCAGCACTACTGCCAGCTCTAATGATTTGGTAGGAAAAGAAAAAAAATAAATAAAAAATGAGTAAAACATCACATCAGGAGGTGGCCCTACCAATTAGAGCTCTCATAGAGCTCCTAAATTAGTGGTCTTAAATATTTTTCTTTGTACATGAGTTTAGATATGATTTCTTGAGCTCTAGGGGAGCTCTAAACAAGTGGGTCTTATTTGTGATGTGTATGTGCATTTTTTTTTCTTTTGGGGCTGTGAAAGACGACGAAAACATGGTTCGGGGCAATGAGAGGGGAGAACCTAAGTGTGTGAAGAAGGGGCTTGGTTTTGACACCCTCCATTTCTATGGAAAATGGTTTGTCTCACTCACAGGGATGACCTAACTAAGGTTTAGTTTGTTGTATGGTTGATTCTTTATAGGCCTACATGTGAGCTGTGAAATGCTTCACACGTGCGAAAGATTACGTAAATGTCGCAATACTTGTGTGGAGCATATTTTCCTCTGTATAAATAGGTCTACAGCTCAGAAGAAGAAAAAAAAAAAACCACCAGAAAATTATTTAAAATTTATAATCAAATTTGAAGATTGATTCATGGTATCATCTTTTTGGGAATTTAGTTATTTTAATTAATTTTTTAATTTTTTAAGAAAAGATATATTAAAAAATAGAGAGAATGATGTGATAACTTGGTTTAGGTTTTTGGTTATTTTAGCCAAAAAGTCACTTCCGAAACAATCCGTAAATATGGGAGAGCGTTTGAATTTGGTAGGTTCATTTTGAAACCGATCTCAATGATCCAACCTGTTCACTTTTTAGAATTCATTTACTAGAATATATTCTTCAAAAAATCAAGATGATTAGATATCGGTAACTATATGTTTGAATAGCATTTGTATTATAAAAAATAGATAGATATTTTTAAAATTATATATGTCATTCATTTTTTTTTTTAAAAAATAAATATTATTCAAATATATAACTATCGATGTCTGATCATATTAATTTTTTACATGAATATCCTATCTAATAATTTTAAAAGATAAATGATTTGAATCACTGAGGTTGGCACAAAATGAACTCACAAAATTCAAATACTCTCTCAAATTAATTGGCCAATTTCAGACAATCTAAACCCTTTAAATATGTACCTTAGATTTGCATTCTAGGCAATTTTTGATTTCTCTTTCCTTTCGGGTACGATATACAAGCAAGAAAATGGAATTTTATATTATTATTTTATATAGAAATATGTGGCTTTGATCCAAATCTATCACTTTAAACACCATATTATTTTTGTGAAATTTTATATTTTCCTTCTGTCTTTTAACTTCTAAACAGTCATATTAATAAAAATAAGTGGAGCTAATTTGTACATGCAGTGGTGATACAGACCACTAAATCAGCAGCACTACTGCCAGCTCTAATGAGTTGGTAGGAAAAGAAAAAAAATAAATAAAAAATGAGTAAAACATCACATCAGGAGGTGGCCCTACCAATTAGAGCTCTCATAGAGCTCCTACATTAGTGGTCTTAAATATTTTTCTTTGTACATGAGTTTAGATATGATTTCTTGAGCTCTAGGGGAGCTCTAAACAAGTGGGTCTTATTTGTGATGTGTATGTGCATTTTTTTTTCTTTTGGGGCTGTGAAAGACGACGAAAACATGGTTCGGGGCAATGAGAGGGGAGAACCTAAGTGTGTGAAGAAGGGGCTTGGTTTTGACACCCTCCATTTCTATGGAAATTGGTTTGTCTTACTCACAGGGATGATCTAAGGTTTACTTTGTTGTATGGTTGATACTTTATAGGCCTATATGTGTGAGCTATGAAGTGCTTCATACGTGCGGAAGATTATGCTAATATCACAATACTTGTGTGGAGCATATTTTCTTCTGTATAAGAGTATCTCCAATGGTGAACTATTTTTTTTAATCAAATTTGAGGGGAAAAAATGCAATTTCCTGAATCTGATACAAGGTGCTTCAACGGTTGCACTGTAGCTTGCATTAAAAGGCTGGGGACGTCCAGTGAGACGACTGGCAGGTCGACCGGTTAAGGGACTGAAACTTCTCTCAGCAACCAATAGAGGGTAATTGAAGTTTGGAAAAAAAAAAAAAGCAGAGAAATACTGGAGTACCTCCAATCAAGCCAAGGAACCCACTGCAATTGGAATCTTGCATCTGTAGCACAAGTTTGGTTCCATGGAGAACATTAGTATTGGACTTCACGTCTTCCACAACCTCCTCAATTGCAATCTTGGCCACTCTACCAACAGTGGATTCAATGTGAAAATAGCTCCAATATTCACAACAGCAGGTCTTGAAGAAACATTCCCACTAAATCCATTTGCAAAAATGCCAACAAGGAGTAACAACAATGAAAGAATCCAAATCATACTCATTTTAGATGGGTAGCTCTGATATCTTTGTACCCTCAAAATGAATCCAATCACCTGCTTCGGAAGAGAATTCTGTGCATAATTGATTCATAGGTTTGGGGAATTTGAAAGAACCATTACTTTCAACAAACATGTAAGATACGACTGTGAAATCATTCAAAGAACTATATTAAAATGGGAGAAAATGAGAAAAACAAATGTAACCCAAAACACTGAAGCACTGCACAGTAGCTTCGCATTTTTTGTATGCAAGGGACGATCGATGGGGCAACCGGTGGGATGTCCGACCGGTTGTCTGGTGGACCCACCTCCAACGTAAACACATAGTGATTTAGCGAAATCTGCCTAGCTCCTTAGTTTGGTCAAATTTTTGGGCAGTTCTCATTTTGATATACTGCACAGTAGCTTCGCATTTTTTGTATGCAAGGGACGATCGATGGGGCAACCGGTGGGACGTCCGACCGGTTGTCCGGTGGACCCACCTCCAACGTAAACGCATAGTGATTTGGTGAAATCTGCTTAGCTCCTTAGTTTGGTGAAATTTTGGGCAGTTCTCATTTTGATATCAGTTTGATGAAACTGTTGGAGCCAAAAAAGTAATTTTTTTTCACCAAATTCAAATTTGGTGATGGTTTTCCTTAACCGTTGGAGATGGTTTTCCTTTGTATAAGGCTACAGCTTAAGGGAGAAGAAAAAAAAAAAGATGAAAATTATTTAAAATTTATTATCAAATTTGAAAATTGATTCATGGTATCATCTTTAGGAAATTAGGTTATTTTCGTTAGTTTTTTAGTTTTTTAAAAAAGATATATAAAAAAATAGAAAAAATAATGTAATAACTTAGTTTATATTTTTGGTTATTTTAGCCAAAAAGACACTCCCCAAACAATCCCTAAATATGAAAGAGCATTTGGATTTGGTGGGTTGATTTTGAGATCGATCTCAATAATCCAACCTGTTCACTTTTTAGGATTCATTTATTAGAATATATTCTTGACAAAAATCAAGATGATTAAATATCAGTAGCTATATATTTGAATAGCATTTGTATCACAAAAAATAGATAGATATATGTTGTTCATTTTTAAAATTTTTTTTTGATCATATTAATTTTTTACATAAATATTCTAATTGTGGGGATATATTTTCTGAGTACCAACACGTGGTCAAGATGACGCCGACGTGTCAGCGGAGGTGCCACGTGTCCTGGTCGTGACGCCGAGGTGATCTCGGCTAGGCCGAGGTTACCTCCAAAGATATCAGAATCCGGGATAAGTATATAAGGGACAAGAGTCCTAGAATGAGGAAGGGCTTTAGCCTGGATAAGGATAAAGCTCTTAGGAAGTTTATCTTTATCTATTGGAGAGTCCAGGATAAGCACTGAGCAAAAGTCCATTGAAACTAGGCTTCTAATGGGACTAGGTTTGTATTGACTATAAAAGAGAGGCACCCCTATGGGTCTAAGGTACGCAATTTATATTCTGAACAGTGAGTTAAGCACTTGATTTATCTTTGAGAGATAACTGACTTGATCGTCGGAGTGCCCCCGGGTAGACGAACTACTGCCGCAATCTCTTCTTTCTGTTGCAGGTCAATCAGGCGCCATCA